ACGAGAGAAAAGCGGAGACAAGGGATGAGCAGAGGAAGGCCTGCATACAGAGTGGAGCGCCTGTCATGGCTGGCGCAGTCGAACGGGCACGCCACTTTCGCCGTCGGAGCACGCCAGCCAGTGGTCGATCGCCCCTGGCCCCGTCCACGTGCCAAGGTATTTGAGGAACGGACGGGTCGGGATGTCGACCCGGTCGGGGACGTGCCCAGCGAGCTCGGACAGGCGCCGATCAGCGAGGTCCTGAGAGAAGCCGTCGCTGAGGGAAACTGCCACGCACTTGCAGATTTTCCGGGTCAGAGCCGAGATTCTCTTCGCCGCTCTGAACACTCTGCGCATAGTTCTGAGGGGGCGGGCGTCCTTCAGCGCCGCGCCCACGTCGTCGGCGCGCGCTCGGACCGCGCTACGGCCAGCCGAGCATGCGGACACGTCGAAGACGCCCATGAATGGACCTGCCGCGAGCGCGAAGATGCACCCCGAATTCGGGCACCCTTGGATGCCCCCGCAACATATCCAGCAGAGAAGCTCGACCTCCGAGCAGAGCGCACCGTAGCAACATGCACACGCGAGAGGACGGAGGCCGCGAGCATCTGCAAAGGCTGCGGCAAGGCCATCGCCACGGATACTTCGAGGATCCAGCTGCAGGCTAAGCTGGGGAAGGCTTGGGGAAATCATATCCAACAAGGAGAGGCATGGCTGCAGGAATACCCTGCTGCATGGAATAGATGCGGCTGAGTGCGTCAAGCTCGACGATAATATATGCGAAATTCCGGGCACTCACAAAACTTAGTTGGGCATGGCCCGCAACGTTGGATATGGCCCACATCGGTCACTATCGTATTAGTTGTGTTCTTGACGCCCCGGGGTGCGCAAGTGAGAAGCATGACGGGCAACTCCATGAGGTGCATCTGCAGGGTCATCTCCTCCAGGGGCAAACACGCGTAGCATACTGGTGCATCCAAGAAGCACGGCTCCCACTTCGAGCTGCCACCAGAGGACGTCGCAGAGACCCTGAGCACCCAAAGCAGAGGCCTGTCAGACACCATAAGGGAAAGCATATGGACCAGGGGCTGAGTGAGTCTGTCCGTCGACGCACTCCTAGATGTCCTGGAGCTTGGGGGGGGCGGGAAATTGGCGACGTCGCAAGCGTCGGCGAGGCGGGCGAGGCGCGCATCGGCAGCGGCAGGGTCTACGTCCCTCTTTTCAAAGACCTGCCCCAGCGCTTGGTGATCTTCCGCGAGATCGAGGCGGAGGAGACGAGGATGCACCCGCCGGCGCGCGGGCCCACGAGCTCGACGGAGCGGTCAAAAGGCACCCAGAGCCGACTTCTTTCAGCGAGCAGGCGAAGTCGCCCACGCGCTCCTGCCTGCACCCGCAGGTCATCATATTGCAAGCGCCCCCCGAGGGCTTCAGCATTAAGAAAGGAGGCAACGAGGAAACCACCTGACATTCAGGATCAAGAGAGAGATGCTCGCGCGCAAAAACCATCTGAGCAGCCGACGAGCGAGGACCCCACGCA